CAATTAGTTATTAAATTCTATGGATGCTTTTGCTGAATGTTAGCATCAAAATGATTTATACAAGCCTAGGAAGTCTGCAGAGTATTCACAAGTGCCAGTTTACAGTATGATGCACAAAATTATGCAGTTTGGCTAAGGTTAGAAGAAATATACTCATGTAATGACCTGAATGATACAACTAACGGTAAGACAAAATCTTTTGTATAAAGCCCTTCTAAAATTGTCACTCTCTCATAGCACTGGTGATTACTTACCTGCTGATCTTAATCACACTGACTGGTCATTATGCACTAAACAGTACAGACAGTTCCCACAAAGCTTTGTATACCATACTACTGCTAGGGATGAATGACGCACACATTTACACTGAAATAAAATCCGATCTACTCATACCTGTAAATAAGTGTGGATCTGCAATAAATAAAAAATTTCTAAACTAAATTTTAAAAGGACACCTTTACTTGGATGTAAGCTTTTTACTGCACGAACTGGCTGTTACTGTGAGTTCCTAGGATGCCTGGTACAAGGGAGACCTGTTCTTGTTTGACCCAAGGCACTGTTCTGGTACAAATAATAATAGTGACAATAGTAGGAGTATTCACACACGCATGACCTGTACCAACACTGCAGTAAGTGTGAACTGCAACCGATGTAATTATTTTGGTGAAAGTTTGTGCAAACTAGCCACCTGTTCAAACCACTGCTTTAAATCTGCTGTAATTGTCATCTCTGACAGCTGTTTGCTAGTGAGAGGACTGCATGTAAAAAGTCTGGTGATTTCAAGTGAATTTCCTGGTAAATTAGCACAGATGTTTTCAACTCATGTTCCACAGAAGGTAATAAAAAAGCAAAGCTGTATATGGTATATAGCCGACAACATGCCTGAGTGACCTGAAAGGATCCGCACCTCTTCTGGAAATTCACAGTTTGAAAGTGTTGAGATCCAGTGAGATATTACAAAAGCACAGCACACCAGGCAGTGCCATTGCTAGCAACCCCTGCCAAGAACAGAGGTCTAAATCCTCAGAGGTACTGAGCACTTGCAACTCTCACTGAATTTACTCTTGCAGGGTTGCAGGTGTTCTCTCTGAAGTAAACTCAGCACATAATGATACGATCAAGGTATGAAATCTCACGTTGCCTGCCAGAATGGGGCAACCAAAAACCCTGTCTAGACAAGTGAACTTGAAACACGCTGCTTGCTGCACAACTTGCTGAAATGCACTTTACCATCCAACATGCAGTAAACGGTTGGTATGTGACCCAAGGCTGAACACATTAAAACTAGTACTCTTCTCATACCCCACATAAATTACACCAAGTAGAAGGTGGATCAATTGCCTTTCTAGCTTTGTGTTTTTCCAGACTTCCTCTTCTGGCATCATGCAGCCCTGTAGACACTGCAGGTATATATGCTTGGCTATATTTCAAACTTATGCTGAGGGGTTCCTGCACTCTTTTTTTTTCTCCTAGGAATCTAATTTTTAAGAGCAAATACAATTAGAATTTTATCTTGAAGGAGGGACATAATTTGTTCATATAATAAACACTAAGCAAATAATTCATAATAAATAGCATATCAATGACAATGTACATCTTTAGCTACTCACAAGGTATTCACGGGCATGCTATCCATTTTGAATAATTCAGAGATGTATGAGTTTATCTGTGAAACACTTCGTTTCTGTGCTGAACAGTCCCGATAATTATCATGCTTCAATGTTTGCCAGATGCTTAGAACAGAAACAAAGGCTTTGGAAATGAAAATTGCGTGGTTTGTTTATTATTGTTGATATTAATTCCAAATGGAAGTTCTACCTAAGTCAGGGCCCATAGCTACAGGTCACATTTGGAGAGAGAGGCAGGGAGGGAGGGGGAGAGAAGGAGACTTCTATTCCGCAGAAACATCAGTGTAATCAGACCAAAATAAGAGTGGATCTAACAGGGAAGCCGGCACAGGTGAAGGCATTTCCTCCTGATCAGAGGTCAGTGGCAGAAAGAGACCTCAGATCCGCCTGCCGGGCCAGGGCCCCGTTCCTAAACTCTGCCCTCTCATTTACAGTTCTTTTTATCTTGCTCTAGTTACTCACTCCTATTTTCCTTTAAATGAGGTTTTGTAAATAGAAGCATCACTTACTGAAAGAAACTGTAGACTGGAAAAATTAGGATATCCCCGCCATGCAGTTTAAAGCAGAGAACTGGCTCTGGGTCAGCAATAGAGAAGTCGATTCAGACTTCTTTTTTTCCCCCTCCTCAATGTGAATTAAGTTGGGATCTGTATTAGAAGCAAGAATATTCATCTGCTCAGTTATAAGCCTATTAAACCAGGAAGGCCCATAAACACAGCCGTTTGCAAATTCCAGCTGGGACTCCAGTCTTAAAAACCACACTTTTCCTGCCTTTCCAATATTTGGTATCTTGCCTGTCTACACTCAAGGCCATCAAGGGTGCTGCAGGAGGTCCCTCCTGCGTGCCAAAGCAGGAGCGCTGGCACTTCAACTCAGTACCACCCATTTATAACCATGCGTTAAAACCAGAAACGAGGTGATATTCTGAAGGAAAAGAAGACAGGAAATTCATGGTACTTATCAATAGCCGTAACACAGGTTGTACAGGAGTTGGGGGGCTTGGAAAAACCTTTGAGAAAGCATGTGAGATGCCAGAACCTACACAGGAGAGAAGTGTTGCCTAAAGGCACCTTGCATGAGAGTAAATCCACGCAGTGGCATTACACGACAAACTAAATGAGGGGAGGGAAGGAGCAGCTGTGGCAAGGGCCAGGTGTGAATCTTGAGGTGCCTCAAGCACAGAGGAAAGATCACTCTCCCCAGAGGAGATCAGCCCCAGCTGGGTTTGTCGTACACTTTCAAAGGGAAAAAAGAAAAACGGAATAAAATAAGCCCTCACTCCACCTTTGAATTATTCCTAATTTGTTTTACAGAACGCTAGAATATTAACAGATGTTTTGGCACACTTTCTCCAGTCTGAGGGAGAAAAGAACTCTGCTTTTATTGTCTCTCACTAAAAATTGCTCTCAGAGGCTGTAAGGGCCTACCACATTAGTGCTTTCTGTTTTGTTTTGTTTTGTTTTTTAAAAAGCTATTGTCTGCACAACATGTCTCTGAGACCTGTCTGTACGGAGCTGTGAAACACATTTTTTCCTCAAGCAGAGAAGCAAGCACCAGGAATTCCCATCTTGGATTCAATACCTGTTCAGATTCTTATATGGCATCTGTGCCTCTAATATTTGAATCCTTGATGCATATTAGAGATAATGGAGCTTTCTTCCCTTATTCACAGAGGTGCTGTGCGCATTATGGAGTTCATTAGTCAATGCTTGTAAATTGCCACTGTTGACTCAGAGCAAATTCCTGCTATCAGACTCACTAGTCAGCTCATTTTCATAACAATGCTGCATTGTTAAAAATACTTCAAAACTATTCTTTGGTGAAACTGGGGAATACAACAAATTCAAGCAGACATATAAAACATAAAAGATATGCTGCATCAATAACGCTAAAAGGCCTGCATTTGAAGTTTGTTTAAATTTGTCACCCGTTGTTTCAGGAGGACACATACAATTTTGGGAAACAGAATTGTTTCCCAGGAGTGATGAACATTTAAAACCTAACTAGATAAAGGTTTAAAAAAAAAAAAAAAACTTGTAAGGAGCAGTTTCATAAACACTTTAGGGGAAGGAAGAGCTTGATTAGGGCACCATTTGATACTTACATAAATTTAAGATTGCATTTACCAGCATCTCTTCCTTTTCCCCAAATTTCTCATCACCCCACTGTCTGAGCCTAACATATTTGATTTTGGAGGAAATCTTCACAGGTGGAATAGTAAGACGGAAATCAAACTTGGATGTGAACTGGTAAATCTCAGTCTCTGACATTCAGATTTCTACTGTTATCAGCACTACTCAGTCACTGCGTTCCTGTTTTCCCAGCTGATACACATTACACTGAGGGGCTAACGGTACTCCACACAGACTCTGGTGACAAAGGTATTTTTGATTCCTTACTAGCATAATGCACACTTTTAAGGATGCAAAAATTATACTTTTTTTCCACCTGTCATCATCAGATGTTCTGATACAGGGATGTGTAGGATGAAGCTGATGGTATCAATTGCTGGAAGGAGCCTGCCATCTGCTGATCTGAATAGCACTCCAATCTGACTTTTACCTGATCTGATACTAGTGCATTTTGTAAGGATGAAGCACTATACAAAGTAGGTAAAGTCTATCTGAATATAAGGAGCATTAACAGACTTGCTGAGGTGAAGGAATTTATTTAAGTGGAAAGAGGAAGTCAGAAGTCTATGATCTCAAGTCCAAATCTGAACTGGACACACAGAAACACAGAGGCATCTAAAATAAACAGACAAGTGGATAAGAAGAAAGGAAACAGAAGATAAAAAGGGAGGGGAAAAAGCCTGAAAGGTCTTCTCTGCTTCACTGTACCCTATCAGTGCAGCTAAGATACCAGCTGTCATCCTCATACATTCACCCTTCATGATAGCAGCCCTAAGTGGTAAAATTACCACTCACCATCCTCTACCTTTTTTTAGGGCTACCAACATGCCCAGGCATGGAAAAAGCCCTGGAAAAAAGAAAAGCTCCCAACAAACCTCGTCAGGCTCCCATCTCTTTTTCCTTTAGTGCTTATTTCCATCAAGATGCATGTAAAAAGCTTTCATTTGGCTGCACTTAGTGAAGAGTCACTATTTCTGTTAAACTGTTTGCATTACTGTTACCTCGCCCTCCCACCCCCCCAGCTAATATTTGCTATTTCATCAGTAGGTCGCATCCTACCAGTCATTCTAAGCTGGGAGTGCTCTTCAGTCCAGAATGCACTATTAAGTCGTAACGCTTATAAAATATCTCCATAACACAAATAAGAATTAAAAGACAAAGGGAAATGGGAGAGGATGCAGAGCTGTAAACTTACCATAACAGGGTGAAGTTTCGCCAAAACAGGAGAACCAGCTAAGAAAGAAAAAGGTAGTTCAAAAATTAGGGAAGTATATTTTCACTCACTGAAACTACACAGCAGGGAAATGAAATTAGAAGTGGAAGAAATGCTGAAGGACTTGGATTATTTTTGAAAAGATCAGGAAAAAAAATACAGAGCGGGAAAGAGCATCAACATTAGTAGCAGGATTAGCATCCACAGATTTGCTGGTGAAGAACTGGAGCAAGACAAAGATAAAATAATATCCTTAATTCTTGTTTTTATTATTAAACTCCCATGTTATGATAACGTCAATAAACTATCTTACACAAAAGGTAGATGAAACTCTCCCACCTCAGTCATTTTCCAACATAACCTTAATATGAGCAGAGTTAAAAAGTGAAGTAGGAACCCCCATCCAATGACAGTGCACACCATCTAGCGCTTGTAGCTTGTTTGTGCTAAGCACCTTATGCATATATGTAAGACAGTCCCTGGCCTAAGAAGTCTAGGGAAACAAATATAAAGGATAAGAGAGAAGCATCAATTTAGCACTGTTATCTCTCGTCATTTTTATATTCCCAGATACAACTAAAGGAATTGGTTGTTTGGGTATGCTTTGATAATTATACACCTTAGTATATTAACAATTTCCACCTGTCCCTCAGCTGAGCACGGCTGATTTCTTGAGAGTATAACACCTTCGGAGCATTGCAGTCCAAGGGGAAACAGCAAATAAGGGAATGGCAGTGATTCACTTAGGACCGTCTCCAGATGACAAGGAGCAGAGCAAGAAGATGACATTTGGAGAATTCTGTGAAGAAAGCAGATGGTCAGTAATGGTGGCTTTCACCCACATGGGCAGGCTGTATTATATGCCTACAATAAATGCGTCAAACATCATAACTAGGAGTTAAAAAAAAAAGGAGGGGGAAACAGGCAAAGAAATACATACAGCTTTGGCAGTGCCTAAGGCTGTGGCTGACCACAGATATCAGAGTTTCTGGGCTATCACAAGATTGCAAAATGGGGACATTTTCTATGATTTATCAATTTGCCTTCCAGTATATAAGGCTATTTTTTTCATAGCATGAAAGCAGTAGGCTGAAAGGAGTACACCTTGATTGATCTTTTGATTGATGCTATGGAAAACTTACAGATACAACCGCGGAAGAATATGAGAGCGTAGAAAAAGAGTCACCTATCCAGCACAAGTTCTTGAAGCCTTTAGTAAGACCTTGAGAGTATCAGGGATGGTACAGCTGTCAGTGGAAAAACAACTTGTGAATTGGTTAACTCCATCAGCAAATTGCACCAATGCAGATATCAGTTTACATTTGTTTACCACATCCACACAGGTGATGAGAAGAAAGGGAGGCACTGTGGGCGCTGGTCTCTGCAAGGTGTGTGGCACAGCGTCGGGCTGGGTTATCATTATCAACAGTGGCAGTAGAAAGGCATTGTGAGTACCAGGTCTTGCTCGTGAGCACAGCCAGCTGGGACACGGCCTCTCGTTTGTTCTGCAAGTCAAGACCAAAGATCACAACAGTTCTAAACAATATCCACATTTTAACAGCAGGACAAGAAAGGAAGAAAACGTTGGGTGAAGTTAGTGGGAATGACGTACTGCGTAGGAAGGGGCAACTAGAGGTAACAGAATTGGTTTAGCAGGGAATGATTAAAGGCATCGTATCACACAAACAATAACTCAGTATAAGCATACTGAAGATAGAGGTGAATCCCACAGTTCAACGTCATCTACGGAGACTACAGCTAGCTTAGCAGTAAGTGGGGGGTAACCAAGTACCATTCATTACTGAATTGCAGTATTTCCTAATGCCCCACACCCCAAGGACAGTGGGCATTCAGGGAGAAGCGTATTTAATACAGCAGGAGCTGTGTGGCCGGAGTTCTGGGATTAACTCTTCACGTGAACATGCACAAGAAATACAGCGATCCATTTCCTAAACCACACAGGATACAGCCAGCTGGGAAGGAAGGTCAAAGAACCAGCTCTGCGTTAATGGATTTGAGCACCTGTAAATGAATAAATATCCAAAGCAGAGTTATGGCAATCATGGCAGGCTCCTTAGTTTGTTTGCACGTTTTTAAGAAACAAAAAAAAAGGAAGGCAGGGGCTATCCAGAGTAACCAAAAGCAGGAGTTTAGGGATGCAGTTCTTGGAATCATTCATCACTTGGGAACAGGGAATGACTTTGGGAAAGACTGTTACACTGTTTTCAGACTGATTTTGAAGATGGAAGCATACGGGCTAACACTCGCTGTGCAGCAGCAGTTGCCATTTCTTAGGATAGGACAATTAGTCCAAAAGAGTGAATAAAGAGGTATCACCTTTAATATCTGGTGCTCCTACTGCCACTGTTTTTCCAAAATACTCTCCTGGGGGCATTAAAGCGTTGGTTTTTGTTTATACACCAGCAAACCTGCAGCCTTAACCCATCTGCCTGTCTCTCTGTGTATATATCTGGGTAATTTAATAAATGCTTCTGGGTGTTGATTTACGTCATTGTATCTCTATATAAGCATGCCTCTGTGAGCACGCTGTTGGTTGTCTGTGAGCGAGCATTGTTCGTGTTTTGTGTGTGTGTCTGTGCCTCTCTGTGTGTCTGAATGTGGTTTTGTTTAAAATTTCTCCCTAGAAAAAGCAAGGAGTCAGACATTTCATGAGGTTGTTAGCTAAAACCAAGGGAAGGAAGGAGGAGACAGTAAGGGATAATTTACTGAGAAAAAGGGGCAGATTTGGCCACAGTTAACGATCTGCCTCAGTGTTCACCAGAGAAGATGGGGGAGTTTATTCCACACATTAAAATGTCCCAGGGGAGGATCATATAGATCATGCTGGAAGAGATGGAAACAGTAAATTATCTAAAGGCTGACAAAGCAACGGAGCCAGATGTAATCTGATCCCAAAGGCTGAAAACAGGGAGGGAGAACCTTCCCAAGGTATGCCTGAGATCCCCTCGGAAACTAACCTAACCCGTATCAAGGAGGTAAATCTTTGGAATACTGGATTAACTTTGATGCTGTGACCCTCTTCCAGCTGTAGAGCCAGCTTGCAGGGAGAAGGTATTATTCTGAGTCAGAAAACAGAACAAAAGAACATTAAAATCCAAATAAGCGCAAAGTTTCCCAGCATTCCAGCAGCCCCTGAAAAATAAGCCTTAATACTGGCCCAGGAACACCTCCATAACGTGGGTCGCCTCAAACCAACAGCGAAAGAGCTCCTACTGATTTTCCAGCTCCGTTGCCCAGATCGCTTTTGCACGTGCAGCTTGATCGGCCACGCTCAAATAACTGTAGGCCCGACTCACCCCCCCACTTTGCTGCACCGTTCGGCCAATGCGAGGGCAGTATGAGCCACCGAACGCAGGGGCACCTCACGCCTGTAAGCACGGGTATAAGACATGCTCCATTTTGAGCGAGAAAAAGACAATTCCTATTTCGGCAGCTGGTACGCCCCCTCAATAACTAACCACAGCTTTTTGCACCCATTCAATGAATGTGTCTTGATACACCCGAAAGTATCACAAATTGTTGTCGCTGGCAGCCAGGTTTTCAAAGGACGGCAATTCCGTGCGCACCTAACTTGCGCTGGCACTTGTTAACCAGACACTGCGGACACGGCAGGGGCGACGGCAGACACCGACCTGTTTGCACACGGAAGAGCTGGGTAGGTTACACGGGTCCCCCGTGGCACTTCGGCCGTGATCCGATATAGTGGCTGAGAAACACCTGGGACATCGTCTACATACATCCTCTATTTGCAGAGGGGCTACCTGACTCTCCTGCTCCATACAGCCCTTCTCAGTCGTGCCATGCTATACAAGTGACCTCAGCTGTGGCTGTCCCCTGCATTGCCTAGGTGAGGTGCAAGAACCTGAAGAACTGAAGTCTTAGATCACACAGTCCTTGAAAAACTGCCTAACGAAAATATTTACTGCAACAAAATAATACCCTTTTGGTACAAATAAAGAAAAACACGTCTCAGACCCTGAGACAGCTGGAGATTTACAGACGAGCTTCCCTATAGCAATTCTCGCTAGCATAAACCCTCGCTGGTTTTGTCCACGCTTATTCTTTTCAGGACGTTTCCCGCAGAGAAGCGTCCCCTCGTCGGAGATCCTTTAAGCAAACCCTTCGCACAGCCCACTGTCAGCAGGGCTATTGTTTCTAACAGGAAGCAAGTCTGGCCGCCTCTGTAATTTAGACTGTGGGCAATAAGCAGGGGTGTGGTGCGCAGAGCAAACAGCGCCGGATTAACAGCCCTTTTCACTGCGGGACAAGGAGAGCCCGGCTGGGACCCACAGGATCTCGCCCCACGTCGGCCGCGGCTTCGCCGAGGGTTACAGACCTCTCTGTCCTCCAGCTTTGAAACGGGACAGTAACGAGAAAACTACAGGGCCCTCTCTCCGACGGACCTTTCTGAGCGGCACATCTTGAAATGAGATTATGAGGGAAAATTAAGAACAGTCTTCTCCTTTCAATAGGTCTTTAAAAACAATAACCAGGCTTTACTGTAAATTCATTTATTTACCCTCAGCATGCCAGTTCCCAAGCTGATATCTCCTCTGTGTACCAGAGATATATATAGATCTAAATGTGGCAAGAACACAGAAAGATTTTATTTATTTTGCGTAAGGAGAGCAACGTGGGTTGTTTTTTTTTTTTTTTCCAGGAAGAAGTCACATCAGAGAGGCTGTTAAAGACATACTATGGGGTAAATAAAACTCAAATTATATTTAGCTCAGAGGAGGTGACAAATATTAGTCAGGTCGACTACTGCCTTACTGGCAGTCCGTCTGATACCATGGTCAGATTGAGTATAAAAATACAGAAAAATAGAAAAGAGAGCATGTATTAAAGATGACTGGCCAAAGTAAGCAACATTTTGTTGTTTATTACCAGCATGTTTTAAAGGCAGCTCTGAACCTAAGCAAAGGTATCTGAAGTCAAAGCCTAGCCTGCGTTCCTCTGAAGTCACCTACACCAGATCTGGATCCCCTGAAAAGGCTGGAAAAAAAAAAAACAAAAAACCACCACACCTTGTTTTGGCTGTCTCCCACAGTCATGGTAGGACTATTAGTGCCAAAGACAGGAACGCTGTGTCCTGTCCTGCCTCATGCCGCCCTCCAGGTGCTCCGCACACGGCTTTCGGCCCTGCTGCACTTGGTGGCAGCCACCAAGGAGCTGGACGGGCGGCAGCCTGGACGGAGCCGGCGTTAGAGGAGGAACCTTGGAGCTAAGTTTCCGTGTAAAAACCGAAGCCTGTGACAAACTGGCCTGACTCACTGAGGCCTAGATGTCAATGCAGTGGCGCGTATTAGCCCAGGAGTTAGCTCAAAAGCAAGCATGAGGTAGACATAAGTGTTCAAATCCCCAGATCCAGACATCCTTTTAACATGTAGGACTCCATACGCAGGGCTGAGCTTTGTGGTGACGCCCTAGATCTAGCCGGTAATCAAACACATTTCAATCCACACATAAGGCAGCAGTGCCTCCTCTCACCAAGCTCCCCCTATGCTCTTCACAAGCTCTCGTCTTCTGGGTCATCCCTGCCCACAGGGCGAATCAGTGCTGAACGAGGGTCATCTTCATTCCTGGAGCAGCAGCGAATCCACCCACCCTGCCTGCAGACAGTAGGGAGAGCTGCCTGTTGGGGAGGGGAAAAAGCGATGAGGAGATTTTTTAACCTAGTTTTGATGACTTTTGTGTAAGGAAGCCACAAAAATCTCTCATGCCTAGGCAATTGATAAAATTGCCTCCTTTGTTCAGCAGTAGAGCAGAAAGGACATCTAACCAGAACGACTGGAAAGCAACTTCAAGAGTTATTAACATTTGCAAGCATTTGCAGTCACATATGTGCACTCCATCAATCGAACATATAATTTTCAAACGATTCCCCAACCTCTCCCTTGGTAGCTGGGGCTATTAAGTGAAAGCAAAGGGACGACACGGCACACCTGAGATAAGAGCATGCAGAAAGCAGCCCAAGATCCATTAGAATTTGCTGAGCTAGCAAAGCTGTCTGCAGTCACGAGTTCCTTCTCCAAGCCACGAGCAGCGTGAAGTGCTTGAGGGGATGCCCTGCTTGCTTAGTGACAGATTTTGGGTGAGATTTCCGAAGAAAGGTTTGATTGCAAGCAGTGCGTGATCACCGCTAGAACGCCCCTTTGCGGCTTCACATACACACACACACACACACACAGATGTTGTGTCTACCCTCTGTTCTTTTACAAAAGAGAAGTGACCTGCAAAAACCCCAGCATTTCATATCTCACAGCGGTGGGGCAACACAACCTAGATAACAATAATGAGTCATTGGGAAACAGAAGTATCGAGCTCCCGGGATCTCCTCCTCAGCACAGACCTGCAAATACACGGAATAATTTGCATTCCACAGCTTGTCTTGCAGAAGCCTCAGATAAAAATCAGGTTTGGCATGGTTGGGATAACTGAGCAACATTTAGCTGCAGAACAATGAACCAGCCGGGAAACCACG